TTGTCTGCAAATTGACCTGGAGTAGACGCTTTCCTTAAGCGTTGCAGTCACTTGGCTGCTTCGGTTTGTTTGCACTGCCCCTCGCCCTCCTGGCCTGGGCCTGGATTGGGAGCAGAGGTTCAGAAACTTCACCAGAATCTCAGTTTCTCAAGCTCATCTGAATTGGGAAGTACCGAGGCCCTCTCAGGAAGAGGCTGATCCCATGAGCTCGCCCTAGAAAAATGAAACCTCTGCCCTGAGGTGTTACCCTGTTGGGGTTTGGGTGCCCATCGCATTGCAACATCAGCTACAAACTGCCGTCTCTCATTGGAGGGGTCCTGCTCTCCGTCTGCCCGTGGGGGGCACGGTCCCTGATCCAGCAGAGCACTTGGGCACGGTCTTAACTCCAAGCCTGTGAGTAGTCCTGTTGATTTGCTGTATTACACAGCCTGTTATTAAGAAGCTTGAGGTAAGTTGCTCCCACAGGGTGCTTTTTTTTTTTTTCTTTTTGCCTCCAATGGGATTAAACACAGGTTTCAAATTACCCCAAATACATGTTTAACCACGTTTTTGTGATGGGGACCCAAGACGCTGACATTTTTTTATAGCGATTGTGATTCTAGATGACTCTTGTGCCTCTCGCATTGACAGTCTGTTCTTCTCCATTGTTTCAGGAACGTGGCCAAGCTTTCCACGGAGGACTACTGCTCTTGGTCCATGTAGCAACTCTGTCCACCTGAAAAGAGAAACGAGACCTATAGGCAGATATTCATTGTACTTTTGGTGTTGACTTGGGTATTTTGAAAGGCAGATACCTTAATTTCTTGGCAGTTTCCCCAGGGTTAGACATTACGCAGAGGAAACTGTACCTTAGAGAGATGTATTGCATGCAGGTGGCATCTTTCCAGTGCACCTGACAGATGCATAAGAAAGAGATGGTGCTTTGCTGCAACTAGGGCTCTTTTTTTTTTCAGCCCGATTGCTTGGAATTACACCAGAGCCCAAGAGGGCTGAGCCCAGGCGGTTTAGTCATACTCTGGCGATGGAGGTTTGGATCCAATTCTGGAAACAGCCCCAAAACTTCTCATGATGTGAAGCTGGACTTGGTATCAGAGAGACCTCCCTCTCCAAGGCTGGGAGATGAATGCCAGTACTTCTCAGGACACTGGTCTGATCAAGAACTGACCAAAATCGATGTGAACAGCATGCGTGCTCTCCAAAGAGCCTGCAAGGGAAGGTCTGAAAGTGTCTCCTGTATGGATTGCAAGAGAAATTACTACCTCAGAAGTGGGACATCAGTATGCAGCTGGAGCCTGGATGTGGGGGCCAGAGGTTTCTGCTCTCTGGGATGGAGTCTTAACCTCCGTGGCACCGTTGGTGCTGGGTTTGCAGGACAAGCTGATTCTGTACACCTGCGCAAAGTGCCTGTAAAATGCTACCAAAACCGACTGCACAGGTGTAAATGGTTACACAAAGTGCCAGGCAGGGCCCAGGCTGCTGAGCTACTATTTCCATAGCATGCATTTGCTGCCCTTAAAGCATCAGGGTTTTTACACAGGACTTGGGAGACTCTGGGATTATCTCCTGGGTGGTGATGATGAGGGGGAGTGCACTGAATACAGCTGGACCTGTTGCTGGAGCCCAAGCTGAAGGGATAAAAGGCCTCAAATAAGCAAGGGACCTTTCTGTGATCTTTACTCTAATTTCATTGCCTAAATCACTGCCTGCGTAGGCAGCAAGAATAGCTGGCATTGAGGAATATCCATTCCACCTGAAAAAAAGCCCGTTATAAAACGGCATCTGTGTCATGTTTTGCACACTCGGGGCCGGATTGTGCCAGGGGCTCAGCATCTTGTACCAGAGGGCACCTGTTGCTGCTCTTTTCTTCTGAGCTGAGGCAGGCAGATGCTCCAAGCTAGGTTTCAAAGGGGTTTAGGTTCCTGGTGGGGTTTGCCAACCTGCTGAGGCACTAATGGAGATGGGCAACTTGGTGTTTTAGAAGCTCCCCCCAGGCACTTGCCTGCATCTCTGCACTCAACCACCTGTAAAAATACGGCCCTAAGGAATGGATCTACAGAGGCTCTGAGCACCTGTCACTCGGAGCCGGTTCAGCAGGAGCTGGTGCTGGCTCTTCAGGTGGACCCGCAAAGGATGGCTGCAGATCTCCGTGACTCGATATCATCCATATACCTCGCTGTGAATACCTGCTGAAACCTCAGGCTGGACAGCTCCTTGGGGCTGCGGGCAGCTGATGCTCGCGTGGCGCGCTCCTCCAGCCATGTGAAGCTTGCATCTCGAAGCGGGTGCCAGCTCTTAACTTAGAGCTCCTGGACACTGCCTGAGGGATGAGGGGTAGAGGTGAAAATCCAGCCCTGGGATGCTCGGCAGGCACTGTAAGCATGGAGCACTGTAAATAGGCCACATTGTGCACCAACAGGTGTTTGTATTTGTGAGTGACTGCATATGCCGAGCTTACTTGTGATGACTTTCCCTGAGATGTTTCTGGTTGTAAATATATTCGAGCCATTGACTTTTTTTTTTTTTTTGCTAGTGTGAAATAAGCCTTCCAAATGCCTGACTGTTGTAAGAAAAAAAAAAATACAAACACCTTAAAGTATGTAGTCATGTCGTCTTTCAAACGGGACATCTGAAGGTGGTTCTTCCTGAAGCTTGCTCTGGAGCAGTCTCTGGTTCAGGAATGATGCAGCTTCTGTTGTTTGACTCCCCTGAATTGACCGTATTTCTGCCCCTTAAGGCAGCTTCCCTGATAGGTGATTAAACAGATGGGAAGAAAGAAGATGACTATCATTGCCCGGTGCAGTAGGTTCCACCTGTAGGGCCTTAAAAGGATGATAGGAGAAAAGGCAGTTGAGCACTGAACTTAGGGTGACTTTCAAAGGGGATCAAGCACCCGACTCACTTATACCTTTGCAGATTACAGAATCACAAGGTTGAAAAGGAGCTGGAGAGTTGTCAAGTCCAGCGCCCTGCAGAAGTGCAGGATTTGCTGATCCTAAACCATGCCAGAAAAATGCTTACCCAGCCTCTTCTTGAAAGTCTCGAAGGAAGGAGACTCCACAACCTCCCCTGGCAGCTCCTTCTGCTGTCCTACTGCTCTTATGGTTAGGAAGGTCCTAAACCTCTGTTCACTCTGCATTAAAGAGGAATCAGTGTTGGCTGCTGGAATTAATCCTTTAGGGCAGTCAACCCCTGTCAGGGCAGGAGGCATTTTAAGCTCTAGGTACACGCATAAAAAAAGGGGCTGCGACTGCTGGCAGGTTGCTGGTACAAGAGTCCTGAGGCATTCCCTGCTCTGCACTAAAGCATAGTACTTTCACCCCAAGCACAGACAGCAGTGCCCTGATGATGCGTGAGGCTCTGCTGAGTGGGGACCCCCCTCTATGATTTTCCATCACTTAAGATTTTTGCAAATAATTAAACTTCTGCTCTGCACCTAGTGCAGGTGCCATAAGCCTCTCTGAATGGGGAAGGGAGGGAGGAAAAGTAGGCATTATGAATTTCACACAGCAACGCCACAAACAAAGGGTCACTTAGGGTACCATGTCAAGGAAAATTCCCAGAATAGGTAGAAGAAATGCTGTATGTGGAAGTCAAAGGGCTTCTTTTTGTCCCGGAGATCAGAGGAAAGAAGTACCTTAGAATAATCTGCCAAAAACCCCACAGCCTTGAGAAACCAAACTGGGGAGAGCTGAATTTTGAGTTTAAAGGTTTGGTGGGTGGGGAGAGGGGGAGGAGATCACAGTTGGGGGAAAAACAACAAACCAATTGAGCAGGGCCCCTTGTCATACACAGTTAATAGAAATTAAGAAATATAGGAGGTGGCTTTCTCCCTCCCTGTGGTTAAGAGACAGGGAGCAAGGAGGCCCTTTAGCCCATTGTTTCTGGCAGGTCTTTGGGAGGCAGCAGCTGGTCCTGACTGGCCTTTTATCATTCCCCCAGTTGCTGATGCTACCTTCCATGGAGCTGTATTTCCCAAACTGAGTGCTGGCAGCTGGAAAGCTTTTCAGCCGTCCATAAAGTGACTGCTAGTGCCACTCTGTGTTGTAGGGGAAGGATTTCACTGGTTGGGACTGGTGGGTGTGAGTACAAAACCAGCAGCTTGTTAACTTGGAAGCAGAGTGGGGTTTGGTTTCAGTATGAGAGCTGAGGGGTTGCGTTGTTCCCAGGGTCTCTCTTTCAGCAGGCTTTGCTTTTGTTGCCGTGCCTGATTGAAATGCCCGAACAAACAAAAGTAAAATCTGGGCAAATGTTTCCATTGTATTTATACTGGAACTGCCGAATCTCTGGCTGATTCTCTGTTAGTTGCTTTAATGGTCGCTGCTATTTCTGCGGGGTTTTGTCTATAAGCTACTCCACGGGCTCCCCTAGAAGCAGTTGCTAATAACTTATCCTGAAGTTCAAATAAACTCTCATGAGCTTTGGAAAGTACAAAGCAGCTCTCAAAAGGGTGCGACTTGCAGACAGCATAGCTGAGCTGGGGCCAGTGGTGAGAGCCCAGTCAACACCAGCTGAGGCCCTGGTCTTGTGTCTGTAGCAGCAGCAATGCTTCTTGGCAACTTCCCAAGGATTGAACATACTCCAGTGAGTTTCTGGCATCCCAAGGGAAGAATTAGGACTGGGGAATCTCCTGAGGGACAGAGGTGAAATTAATTATCCTGCAGTGTGTCAGCTTGGTTTATTATACCAGGGATGTTCTCGGTGCACTTGGAACCTGCTGCTATTAGGACCTGAGCCCAAACCCAAAGAAGGGAATGGAAAAAATGCAATGGTCTCCAATGCTCTCTGGGTTGGGCCCTTTTATCTCTGCAAATGTCTGTGTCAGTGTTTAACTTGATGCTGTAAGTAGGTCATTTGGCTTCCAGGGAGGGGGTTAAGCATGGGCAAAAGTGTTTGCAGGATCAGGCCCTCTGTTGTTAGAGAAAATACGCCTGATTCAAGTGGCCCTTTGTATTTCTGGTCCCGGCTATATGGTTGCTAGTCCTGAGACCCCTTGCTGTGCTGAGAGTGCACAGCAGAGGGGAACACTAGTAAGTGATGCATGGTTCATCTCATCCAGTCAGATGCCCATGCGGCGCGTGGGTGTCCCTGGCACCTGTACTTCGAGCTTGCACTGCTCCCCTCTGCTTGGTAACTGGCACAGGACGAAGCCTCTTGCCAGAGTGTGGGAGAGCCTGATTGTGGGCATATTGGGGGGGAAAGAGTGAGGAGTGGGAGGGTGCCCTCTGCATTGATTGTTTGTTTGTTTAATTGAAAGGGGAAGAAAGCCACGTGGGTCTCTATGTGCCACGCTCGGTTGTTCTTTAGCTTTCCCCCAGTGCTTGCTGTTGGAGCTGCTAAGCTGCACAGGGCCGCTTCCCAGCTGGAGCAGCGCAGCTTGCCTGGCCGATGTCTGCACAGTAGCAGGGCTAGCTACTGCCCTGCAGGCTTCAGAAATGTTGGTAGGTTCTGGGCAGTTCACATGATTCCCACATTAACCAAATTACCACCTCGCCATAGCTTTAGTCCTCCTCACTGCAGCTGTTCTCTTCCCTGTCTTTACTCTCCAGTTGTTTTTTTCCCTGCGTTCAAGTTTGTAAAACTTTTCAAGCTGAGGCAGAGTGAGCGTGTCGCCTGCCCTGACGGTGGTGTGGGGCTTGGTAAACTATATCCTGCCCATTATAACAACATAACATTAAACTACTCTGCTGTCTGGGCAGGCATAACACCTTACGCTGATTGCATCTGTGTTACAGAGAGCAAACTGCTCTTTGAACGTGACGCTGAGCGTGGAGGAGTCTCCTCGCTGCTCCTTGCTGGTTGTATGATTTTGGTGAAAAAAACCAGGAGGATCAGTAAATTGCTCACTTACTTTTCTGTTCTTTGGTAAGAAGCAAGGTGTGCATTGCTTCCTCTGCTGTGCTTGTTCCCCTAGGAGCTGTAAGTCCCTGTAGGTTGCCGCTACAGAGCACCATGACTTCTCCTCTCCCGTTTCCCAGCTTGCTGTCTGATGAGGAAAAGCCTGTGGTTGTCTTGTGGGGTAAGGATCCTTCGTCATGGGCAGCTGGCAAGGGGGAGAAAAGTGGCTTTTATTCCCTTGAGGGCAGCATGTGCAATCCTGATGCCAGAAGTTAGCAAAGTTTTCCCTTTTGAAAGGTCCTGAGCAGCATACAATATTGGCCCAGTACCTCTCACTGGCCGTGCATACGTGGGGCTGAACTCGGGCATATGAGTCCCCCTGTGAGCTTGGCTCCAGACCCTTTGGCAGCTCTGCCCATAGCTGCTATGTAGTAGTATTTGAAGCTTTCTTCCTAGATAAGGCCAGTGCCTCCAGCCGCACTCCAGCTCTTCAAATCCAGACTTAAATTATCCATGTTTTCTTTGGCTCAGGATCAATGAAATGAAGGAAGCAAAGCAACAGAGCCACCGAGTTGTGTTAATGCCACTGGTAGAAACTTTTTTGTTGGAGAATGCCATTTGGATGAAGCCAAACTGTTTTTTGGAAAAGGCTGTTTATTTTCTTTAAAAAATGGTTTTGAGAAAACCATGGGACACTTGTTTTAACAAGCCGGTGTTTTCAGGATGGAAAGCACTGCTTTATTTGGTTTCAGAATTGAATGTGCTTTAAAATATCAGAAATAGGAAAGTAGCTGGAATGGAAACATATGTTTGTTTAGTTGTTTTTTTTAAATTTATCAGAAAAATGCCTTCTGATTGTAAAAAAGCATACTTTTTTTTTCCCTATAGAATTTCATTTCACAGAAAGCTTCAAAATTTTGGCTTTTCCCTGATTAAGGATAGGAAATCCCCAAAGTCTTGAAACTTTTCATTGGTTGTAAAATCCACTTTCTGAGCAGCTCTTTACTCAAATATAAGATGACCCTTATAATATCAACTATAAGATGACCCATCCCCCAGTAATTAGATTTTATCTATGGGGAATTTATAAGTGTGTTATACTTTTCCAGGTGGAGAAGCTAATTATTGGAGGTTTGCCTTGAATTTGTCTCCCTCCCACTGCTACAGCAGAGAAAATAAAGCAGATTTGAAAACAATAACCTTGAAATTAATTGTAGCCATAGTAATCTGCATATAATGCCCATATATTTGGTTCATCCAGAATTCATACATTACCTTTTTACAGAACTGTTACAAGTTTTTAGCACAGGTACTTCATATGCATACTTTAAAGTAGCGCTTGGATATCCATCTGTATCTATATATCTTGTTCATGGCCAAATCTGTTACAAATTCAGTCGGGCAAAGCACAATAATGAAGCTCCAAAATTTGACTGAGCAGAGCTCAGTTGTCAAGCCTGTGCAGCTCTGCCGCTGGGTAAGTATCCTCCTCCCAGACCGATCAGTCTGGGCGTTTTAGATACTCCCCAAATCCAGGCAGGCATCCAACATGCAAGCCTTGGGGCTGGAGGCCTTGGGGTTCAGATGTCCCTAGTCTTGCTTGACAGTGCATGAGTTTATTTTTGTGGTAAGAGTCTGGGAGGTAGGATGCTTGCCAGTGGTAGCGCCACACAGACTTGAACAACTGAACTCTGCTCACTTGATAGGATTTGGAACCGATTTGACTAATTTGGCTTGAAATGTGAAATTAAAAAAAAATCATCTTGTGGTAGGTTGTTATCAGCATGTTTGCCCAATGTGGGTCCTGTGTTTTATAGTCAAGTTAGTGCTGGGTGCATTTAATCAACTACATAGTTGGTTTCCATTACTGAGCACATGTTGCGTTTTGGCAGCAGTTTGATGATAGCTAGTGTATTTAATGAGGTTTCCTTGTAAGTGTGTGTAAGATGAGGGGCTTTCCCACCCCTGCTGATGGGAGAAAAACCCTTGTCTTGTATTCAACTAAGTGTGGTATCAAGCTTTAGCTTGGCAGTTTTTTGTATCAAGCTGTCTTTGGGCTAGAGCTGCCTGTGGGAATGAGAAGTTTAAGTGTTCCCAATACACAAACTTGCAAAAAAACTGGCTTTGCACAAGGCTTTCCTCTATACGTGGCATGGGTTTGCTTAGGGAAAGAACATCCCCACGTGCTCAGCTGTGTTTCTCTAGGCTGCGAACTGAATGCCAGCACCAGGAAATATATCGTGAAGGAAGAGGATGACTTCTTGGAGCACCTGGTCTCACTGAAAACAGTAAGATGCAGGGTTTTCTGGGGAGCCCCGCTGATGGGTATGGGCATGTCTAGGCTCTGACCAGAGGCAGGATTTGTTCTTCCCACTGCCCACACAGAAACCCCCCCACAGCACTGCTGCTCTGGGATCCTCACCCTGCCTTGGTATTGCCTACCAGTGCTCGGGGTCTGCATCAGACGCTGCATGGGTATAGACTGGTTTGGCAGAAGAGAATTTCCCCGATGTGTGGAAGCACCAGGGCAGCCCTTTGCAAGCTGGCTGTTGGTAGCAGGGGCCTGGCTCTTCTCCGGGGCACTGGCTCGCTGCATGAGAGCGGTCCTTTGCCAGCACAGCCTGGTGCTGGTGACGTGCTTGTTCCACAGATCTGTCTCGGGGCAGAGGCCAAGGACGAGCTTAACGTGGTGGCTGTAGCGGCAAAAAACACCTATGGTGACAACACACCGATGCCCATCGCATCGCTGAAGCTCTCCGTTCTCCCCATGGTAACGCAGAGTGGCATACAGAGATTAAGTTAACCCAGCCTCCTTCACCACCATCCCTGCCCACTGGGCAGCTGGAAGGAGGCAACTACAACATGCTTGGGTGCCCCTGGGACCAGCAGGGGAGCTGCGTCCCCATTGTCTGGATAGCAGCCTATTGCCCAGTGCATGGCACACAGGTCACTGCCAAATGCAGCCTGCCAGGGGGGCGGTGCAGACAGCCGGTGATGCAGTCATACGTCCCTGCTGCCTTTGCTGTAGCTTGCCTGCGTGCCGAGTTGTTCTTGAAGCAACTTCTTTCCCTGGGGTGTGTTACCAGAATGTTGTTTTGCTCCCAGTGGCTCCACGTAGCATCCCTGCCTTGTTTCAGGCCACTCTGGACGGCTTTGAATTTACCCCTCCTGTGGATTTTGTGTTAAAATCTGGAACGGGGCCAGTCTATCTCCACGGACAACATGTCATTTGTGAGTAAGACTCTGATCCTTGCCATGGGCTGCTGTGACAACACTGCGCCAGCGGTGGGTGTGTTCCCAAGGGGTTAATCGCACAACTAGGAGCCAGAACCTCTCTGATACTGATTTGCTGTGTGGCTTTAAGCAAGTCCCTCTGTCTCTGCCCATGGCTGCTGAGTTGGCAATATGAACCTAGAGGATGCTATGGAGGTGCAGTGGTCTATGCAGATCTTCATCTCTTCCTCCCCTTTCCTTTGCTGCTGCATTCCTAGGTTAGAGGGGTCATCTGCTCCAGGCCTGGTTGCAGCCAAGTTGCAACCCCACCAGCCATGAGGAAGAGGATGTTTTCCTGGTGCACGATCCTTTGTACATGTCTTTGGGAATGTGGGTGGTGTTCCCTGCACTGCATGCATCTCAGTCAACACCCCTCCTTTCCCCCTTGCAGTATCTCCTGCGTGCACCATTGGTAACCCTCTGCATCTTGCCAACATCCTGGTGATACTGACTTACCCGTGCAAAGCCCCTGCCAGCTACTCGGTGTCCATGAGCAGTAGCTCCTATTGACTGTCACTTTGCAATTCTCATGTCTTTCCAGTGAAAGATTATGAAGAATATGATGCAACTTGTGAGGGACTGGAGAAAGAGGAAGAAGAGACAGAAGCAGAGATGGAGGAGAAGGAGAAGAGTGTAGTGGAAGAAGAGGGGGTAATTAATTTTAGCGTTAGCTGTCTTGTCTTGTGCTAGGGTGTTGGTTTTGTTAGTGGGAAGCGCTCAGTGCACACAGGAGATCATTGGTCACGCTTGGTGCCTGTCCCACTAGCCTCCCTGGCTTGCACTCTCTGCTGGACTCGTGTCCCTCATGTGTCCTGGCTGGTGTGTTTTGAAGTCCAGCTCTGAAGGAGGTACTAAGACAAATGACTTTAGTTTCCAAAGGGCCTGATCCATGGGAGGTACACTGTGCGCTCGACCCATTCTGTAACCCAGGTCTTTAAAATACAGCATCTTAGGGAGTCTGCCCCCGCCATAGGCAGTATGGCTCCATTGGTCTGGATAAAGCTGGACTATGGGGTGGGACCTCCTCCAGTGGCCTCTGCACCATTGGCAAAGGGTGATGCAGCTGGAGACTTGGCATCCTTGTCCTTTCCCAGCCTGGAGCTGCCTTCTGTGCCATGATCCAGAGCCAGGTCAGGCTAAATGCTCCTTGTTTTCCCTTCAGGCGGCATCCTGCTGAATCTGTCTAGCCCTCAGCGACAGGGTCCGCGGCCGGCGAGACTGTTCCTGGGCAGTTCGGAAGTTGCGCTGTGCTGCTCCGAGATGATTAAACGCCGCTGTGTGTCGTCCCCCCTCCCTGCAGCCTCTTCATTTATCACCAGTGACCTCCCTCATTCCCTGGCTGGGTATCTCCTGCCGAGCTACCTGGCTGTGCTCGACCCGCTTGCCTGGCAAGCCTTCCCATTTGCGTGGGGCTCTGGCACACGGTGCCTGCAGACCCCCACCCAGCCAGCTCGTCCGGCTGTTCCCGGGGCAGCTGCTGCCGGGACAACCGGCGTTCCAGTGCCCAGCGTGGGCCCAGCGGCAGTTGCAGCGCTGGACTGGGTGCCCACGGGGCTGGAGACGTGACGAGCAAAGCCTGTCCTGCCTGCTCTCACCTGGCCGGGGCATGGCTGCTCTGTCCCTCTTCCTCGATGTCCCGCTCACCAGGGAAGCCCACAAGCTCCTCTATGCCTACATGGAGGACCCCTCTCCCGACAAGGTGTATCTGGACGGCCGGGGTAGGGACTCCGCTCGATCCCTGTTGAGGGTCGAGTGCTGCTTTGGCGCAGGGTAGGGGGGCACAAGACAATACGTAGGACTGTGACCCCAGGGCTGTCATGGACGGGGCAGCACAGAGGACAGGAGGCACCTTCCAGGGAGTGAACTGGAAGTGGGGTTAGGGGGCAAGGGCAGTGCTGTTAAGCTGGGGGTGCAGGAGGCTGTCGGTGCTGAATGGCAGAGCTGCAGGCACTGGAAGGAAAATGCTCCTTGCAAATGGGTCCTTTGCAGAAGGGGGGCTAGAGCATCAGCCTAGGGGCAAAGCAAAGGGCACCTGTCCCCAGTGCCTTCCACCCAACAGTATTCAGGCCATGTGCAACTAAGGAAAAGGGTTGAAAACTGTAAGAAGTGCCTGGGGCAAAACTTGCAGCAGCTCCGGGCAAGGACATGGAAGAAGGGCTGGGGCGGGAGTCAGGATGCAGCACCCCCTGCAGCGGGGGTGTTTGCTCTGCTGGGGCTGGAAGGTGGCAGCAGCATGCTCCCGGACCACCGTGGGGCTGGGCCTACCCTCTCTCTTTTCAGGCTGTCGGACAGATACAGGTGAAGCTTGGGTTTGCCCTACAGTGCTGCGCGCCCTGCAGCTGGTGGCCGGGGACCCCACGCGAGACTATGAGTGCCTCCCTGTGTGTGGGCTCCCTGAGTTCACCCGGGCAGCCACAGAGCTGGCGATCAGTCGGGAGAGCCAGGCAATCCTTGAGAACAGGGTACGGATCCTGCAGCCTGTCAGTGCTCCTCTGAAAGCGTTCTTCAGATCTCCGCTGCTCTATCGCTGATGCCACTTGGCAATTAGGGCTGAGCCCTGCAGAAAGGATGGCAGGGTGCGTTCAGTACAAAGCCCCTAGCCCAACTGCAGGCAAGCCAGGGGCTGTTGTAACTCAGGACATCACCCCCATCCATGTGCGCTTTGCAGCTCTGCACTCCTGGAGCAATAATCCAAGCACGACCCCACTAGCACAACACATGCATGTGTTCCCCTCCCTCCCAAAGCACAGGGTTAGGACTGGTGTTTGTATTTACAATGCAGGACTCATCAGCTCCAGAGAAGTGGGCAGGACTAGAAAGCAGAGGATTTGGCCTTGGAAATCCTCAGATGTCTGAGGGACCTCTTTATATTGGCAGCACCT